CTAGAAACTACGGGTCTGAATGAATCACATGTCCTTTTTCCACAGCCCTTATCTGCCTTCTTTTCCTCGCGCTGCCTGGGGCTGTTTTTAACACCTGGGCACTGTCAAGTAGCTCCGCTGACAGATGGGTAGCCTCAGCTCCCACTTTGCGGGACATAGCGTCATTGTGCCAGGGCATTTTTCTATGAGCTGGGTCAGGATGTGTGTAGGGCAGCATGGCCCGAGTTGCGCTTTGTTTAGAACTCCTAAGTTTGCTCAGGGTTTAATAAGGTCTCCAAACTGCTTTTAAGAGGTTAGGGAGTGGCTTAGAGAACAGAGATCAAAGCTGGCCTTAAATCCCAGGTGGATACCTCATAGTTCAGTGTTAGCTGTCCTTGATTGGCTGTTGTCACTCAACGATGGACATGTTCCAAAAGGAGGCCACTGGCTTGTCTGGTTCTCAAAGGTCCGCCATGCTTTCTGCTCACTTGCAGTGCGTAGAGCTGGCAGACGTACATTGACCTAAGTGTTACAAGCGTCTGTGTGCTTAACTTAACGTTTTGGACTGCATGATTTGATTAAATTAACTCTACTTTAAACAAGTCGTGGAAGATTGCCCACATCTCTTTCTTTTCCTCGAAGGGCAGGGATGAAGAGAGCTGTGTGGTGTCTGACAGCATGCCCAGCTTTAAAGCAGGCCAGAGATCAAGTTGGCTTGTGGTGATGAGGATGGCAAAGTAAGACTCAGGAGGGCACAGAACAGGGAGCTGCTCTAGGATATAGAGGGAGTGTCCGAGCTGGTGCTCAGCCTAAGACTTGAGCATGTACTTTTCCCTCTTAAGAACATTCTGAAGATTAACCAGGACAAACAAAATTAAGCCTCTGCCTTGTGTTGGAGGTGAACACCTATTGAATGTTTTGTATCGGTGCCTTTCAGTTTGTTTTCTTAAGAATTAGATTAGAGTTTGCCCAGTGCTTTTGGAATGCTGTTTAAACAGTATATGGCTCACAAGACTGCCAGGCAAACAATGTTTGAGACATAGTGGGACTTAACACAGGGATTAAAAATATTTACCCTGAGCCCTCTAAAGGTTTACATAGAGGGAGGCCTGGTTTTCTGGAATGCTGTGAAAAGGCTTCAGAGTAACTGGGTGTTAATAGTTTGGTTTTGTTTTAGAAGTTTTTAAATCCAGTAATTAAAATGTAGTTTCAGTTTTCTTTCTGCATTGACTGCAGGAAGGTATGCATGAAATAAAACAACAGAGCTATAGTGAGTCAAGCTACAGTCACCTGATGACCCTTTTCGAAATCCTTCAAAATCATCGACAACGTCAGTCCATGCCGATCTCTTCCAAATGAGCCCTGAAACATGATCCAGAGGACACAAGGGAAAACGCCATGGAATTGTGTTTAAAACCAACAGCAAGAGGCACGTCTTTACTCAAAGAGATGTGGGAGTATGGAACAGGCGACCATTCAAGAAGCAGCAGGATGAAATCCTTTGATCAATTAGATAATAACTACCAGAGGGGATAGATGGGCTAGTTTGTCCTCTGTTCATTTCGTACTGTTCTTATGCTCTCTTGGGTGTTTCCTGTTTGCTGTCTGCTATTTATAACTGCAATGAGGATAATTGTTGTTATCCTCATTGTAATCATTATCGGTTATTGTTTAATGATAAAAGTTTCAACTCCAATTATTTCTCTGAAGAATCATTCATCTTCAACAACATGTTCAAAACACCAGTGGCTGTACTGGTAAAGAAAGGCGTTATCCATCTGGGTCATTGTGTTCTTTCAGTGTTCCTGGTTATGAACAAGTGCCCTTTAAAGATAAAGAGATTGATTACTTTTTAAGATCTTGAATATTCATGAGACATGTTAGTCTGTCCTGATATACTGGTTGTGTAATAGTTTCACATTACTTAAGTAACTTTTTCTGTAAGACTATACTATACACATCGTGTGCAAATATTGTTTGGTAAGTCAAAAAGTGATTCATATATTGTAAAGTATATTTATTTCTATAGTGGTGGCTTTGTGGATTATAAAAGATTAAATCCAAGATGGTCCCTGACATACTGTTACAAATAGGAGCTTACAAAAATGGTGAATAACAGAAAATACCCGTGTGGATTAATCAATAAGTAAATTAAATTATCATAACCCCCAACTTGTAAAGATTTTGTCAAGAATATCCCCATGCGGGTGGTATTATTAGAGACACCTGCGTTCTTAGTGTGTATATCATGACAATATACACACTAAACAATACACAACATAATCATACAACATACAAGTTACTGTATAAGTATTTGCCAAACATGTGGAGCAAAAAGAAAATGAAGGATCCTAATAAAGATTGAATGTTTTTTAGATGTTTTTTCTGCGCGATAAGCAGAGTGACAACATGGTGACGCCTTGTTGGTTCAATTCTGGACCCAGGGTGCGTTCTGCACGGAGTTTGCATGGTCTCCCTGTGTCTGTGTGGGGTCTCCTTTGGGTGCTCCTGGTTCTTTCCCCAGTATAAAAAACACGCTGGTGGGCTACTGGGCTTCTGGCCTATTGGTCCTGGTGTGAGAGTGTCTGTGTCTGTGCCCTGCAGTTGCCTGGTGTCCTGTCCAGGGGGGACTCTGCCTTGCGTCCACTGATCGCTGAGACAGGCTCCGGCTCCCCTGAGATCCTGCATTGGAGGAAGCGGTTAAAAAATGGATTGATGGAACAGAAGAATTTATATACAGCAGGATTTAGTCCAGTGGCGTGTGTGAGCACAGTGCAATGAAAATGAAAAACTCAGACAAGCCCTGAAATAAAATGAGTTGTCTGTTATTTTGCCCTCATTTAAACCATCCATCCAAAAGGCCGGTGGCAACATACTGTATCTCTGCCATGAAGATCCCCAGGGCGCAACTGGTATCTAAATCTTTAAAAGAGCTGACCAGACCGACCTACTGTACAGAACGGCTTTGGGATCCATATTGAAACAGGAGCACAGGTGGAAAGTGACAGGGTTTGAAGGACCTCTTTTGTCGAAAGATTTAGGAGGAGCGAGCTGCTCAGGCCTGTTGGAACAGATTCCTCCAGATCCCTCTGGAATTAGCTCAAGGGGCCAGTAAGCTGTAAACAAACAATCAGACAAGATGAGCTGAACAGCCGCTTCTCTTTCCTAATCTTCCTTGTTTTCCCACGTTGTGAACATGATCAACTCAGAGACACATGCTGCTGATGTAAATTACACCACACAAACTTGTCTGGAGCCTCACATAGACCCTGAATTCAAGAGACTGATTTACAACACACAAGCATGTTGCCTAGACTGTACACAAGAAATTAAGCACAGTAGTTTTGACATGGTGAAGTTAAATTAGTGGTGTATTTTCTTAGCAGACAACCTTGGCACAAGCTGGCCTTATTTACATGTACATTTGTATACAAACCAAACAGAGCTTAGAGAGTCGTGTCTGTGTGCAACCTGCAAAGGTTAACTCCACACCGAAAAGTAAAAATACAACACTTTTGGATATGGAATCTTTTTTCAGATATTTTGCAGTTATTTTTTTTTTAATTCTTCAAGGTGGTAAATTCTTCTTCAAGGAGGTAACAAGTAGTTTGCAATTCTGCTTGTTTTAATTTGAAAATATTTTCATTACAACAGTATTAGAAGTGGAATTGCTTGCTGTATAGTCTTGACAATAAGACCTCTGTTTTGTAAAGGTAAATGTTAAATAGGATATATAGTTCCATATTATGTTTCTAAAGATGTAAAGTTGCATATAAAGATGAATTTTCAAATTACAGACTGTAGGCATTTAGTGGAACACTTGCTTGGAACGTAAATTGGTCAGTGAGTTCAGATAAGGAGTAAATGCTCAGATTGCTCAGATTGGGTGATGTAATTAGTTGAGTACCACGGGTATCTGTAGTAGGACCACAGCTCTTCCTGATTTATGTCAATGATCTAGATTCTGATATAGCTAGCAAACTCATCAGCTTTGCGGATTCCATATTGGTAGAACTGGCAAAGACTGTAGAAGCAGAAAAGGAGATTCAGAAGTATTTAGAAAACATTCCAAGACTGGGCAGATGACATTAAATGTAGAGAAGTACAGGATAGATACAAAAATACCAAATGGAAGACACTGAGACAGAAGAGGCTTCTTATGAAAAGTACCTGGGTGTTTGTTTTAACACACCATATATGTCTTCTAGATAATGCGAGGAAGCAATAAAACAAGCAAGCTAAATGTCATGATATATATTTAAAAGTATTTGATTTACATCAAAGAATGTTAAATGCACTACTAAGGTTTCATTTAGAATATTGTGTTCACATTTGTCACCATGTCAGAGAAAATATATTGCTGCTCTGGAAACCATCCAGAAAAGAGCAACCAGATACATTGCAGAGCGTACAGGAATCTCTTACACTGACACCCTGAGGGAACTGGATGTTTTAGCCTTGAACAGAGAAGAATACAAGGAAATCTGATAAAAACAATCAAAATATTCTAAGTCAACATAGTGGACTTCTTCAAAATGAATAGTGAAACACTAACCAGAGGGTAAAAGTGGGAACTGTATGGAAGGGCATTTAAAACTGAGAACAGGAGGCACTGATTTACCCAAAGGGTGGTGGGAGTGTGGAACAAGCTGCCCCAACATGTACCTGAAGCTGATTCCCTGGTCTTTAAAAAAAAGGCCGAATGGTCACCCCTCATTTGACACTGTTCTTTTGTTCTTAAGTAATTAAGAAATTTATTTTCAGTACGTGTAGGTACTGCAAATTCATCATTTATTTTCATATCATTTTTCATGTAATTTTTTTCCTAGTTCAGGGCTCTTTGGGAAATTCGGGGTTGACAATCAACTGCGATTTGCCCCACATTTTCAGAGCTATAAATATCCATGTGAAAATGAGCAGTATATTAGAGTAAACATTCTATTACCTGATAAAATGTAGTGTGTGTTTTTTGGAGACCACTTTCCAATCATATCTCTCTTGTTGCTTTTCTTTTTATCCAGGAGGTTGGAAGAATGAAGGTTGAGCTGTTTGCTGACGTTGTTCCCAAAACAGCAGAGAATTTCAGGTAAGATTGTGCTTGGATTAATATATGGTATAATGATACCTTTGAACAGGTGGTTTTGCATAGGTAAATATGGCGGATGTTTTTTTTTATTTGAATGGAGAAGTCACAATAGAAATCTGACAGCTTTCTTTAACCAGTAAATGCAGGTCAGAGACTATTTCAATAACTGCTTGACTGCCTAGACCAAATATACTGGTCAGCTGGCTCTCACCAAATGTCTGCGAAATATGAAATAGGACATTTGTGTTAATCAGTTTAAAAAAAAAACTAAAAATGTGCTTAATCGCAGTGTTACCAGAGCTACTGTATATTATTTGGTTGAATGAACGGGACCGTTATTGGTGTTGAGATTGACAGTCTGTGAAGGTATTGGATGTTTCTAAATGTGCTGAGGTTATTCAGAATAAACAATTATCTGGCTGTCCAATTGTCCATTGATCCTCCTGAGAAATCCTGCAAATCGTCTGATGTAACTCTGGCTTTAATTCAAAACGTAAGCAAGCTTATATTGGGTTTTAAATCACTATGCCAAGGTAAAAAAAATGCATAATGAGAGTTAGGTTTTGAAATCTTCTTTGCGTAACTTGTGGATTTTTTCTTCTAAACAATTGGGCAGATTTGCAGCACGGAGGAACCAAGTTTTGCAAATTTAACCTGACATTGGTGTTGTAATAGTGCTACACATACCAGAGCAGAGGAGCGGGACTATTACTATGATGTTTGTCAGTTAAACGAATGCATTGGGGTTTTTTTTTTTTAAGATCTCAGCAGAACTTTTCTGCTTTCATCTCACACCTGTTTTCACACCAGGTGTCTGCACACATTGAAAGAAAGGGAAACAAAAACACAGCAGCAACTAGGGAGGAGAGACGTTTAAGCCTTTTAAAAGTATTTTGCATCAGTTCAACTTGTTCTTCCTATGCTTTTTAACTCCAAATACAGCCCAGAAATTTTGCAAACTCTAAATTGTGATGAGACAAGATCAGATCATTTTATTGGCCATATCCAATTTCTTGTATTAGGAATCAGGCCAACTAAATCAGGCACCTACAGTAGCACGGGCGGTGTGGTGGCTCTGTGGCTCAGGATCTGTGCCTGTGGCTGGAAGGTTGCCAGTTCGTATCCTGTGGCTGGTAGAGGAATCCTACTCCGTTGGGCTCCTGAGCAAGGCCCTTCACCCCAGCTGCTCCAGGGGCGCTGTATAAATGGCTGACCCTGCGCTCTGACCCCCAGCTTCTCTCCCTGTCTGTGTGTCTCATATAGAGCAAGCTGGGGTATGCGAAAAGACACATTCCTAATTCAAGAAATTGTATAGGGCCAATAAAGTGATCTGATCTTTTCTTATGTTTTATACCTGATGCCACGTTATAGCAGAGTGAGCTGTAGGCTGAACAGAGACAAACAGGCCATCACTCACATGGCGTGTAATAAGCTGTTTACAATCTGACAGGGGATGAGGACCGTGTAGGTAACTCTTGATGCCTTTTTAACATGAATAACATGTCCTGTCCTCTTGTTCTTTTTCAGGCAGTTCTGCACAGGAGAATTCAGGTGAGTGGGATCAGCTGTTGTCTGGGAACCAAACAAGGCCCTCTTTGCTGTGCACTTTGATCTGTATCCGATTCTAAGGGCTGTGCAATCGTGTACAAACTGTACCAGCCTAGCAGAAACAGATAAATGCCAAGGGTTCATCGATACAAGTGTAGCAAAGAAAGTAGCGACGTGCCTGACGCATGCTTACGTCACAACCTGCTTTTAACCAAGTGCCTCAGGGACAAGAGTACAGGACAAGTGGCAAGACAAAGAGTGCGCTTTGTGTTGTGCACGGTTCCACTGTAGCTGTCGCCACCCAACTCTTGTCTTTGGTTTCAGAAATATAGCCATGCTGTCTCTATTCTGCATTCATGCACCTTGAAGTTATCTCGTGCTCTATTGAAATAATAGCTGAGCCTGCCTCTTGTTTCTTGTTAAGGGAGGATACTGATCTCTGGGTTGGCATAAGGTGTGTGTGTGTGTATCCTGGCATTGATCTTTCTTGAGCAGATGAACCTTACAGGTGCGGAAGGTGCAGGGAACAAAGGTGTAGCAGCAAACAAGAAGATTGAAATTTGGTTTGGGCTTCTTCTGCCAAACTTTTTACTTCAAATCCCTGAATGTGGTATAAGAAGAACACAAGACCAGTAAGAAACAAGAGGAGATCATTCGGCCCATCCAGCCCGTTTGGTAGTTAATAGCTAATTGGTCCAAGGATCTCATCCAGGTGTTTCTTGGGGGAAACCAGGGTATCAACTTCAATCGTGTGGAAGGTGTCTTGTCCCATCCTCCCTCCACCCTTTGGTTAAAGAATGGCCCTCTGTTCTCACGAAGTTTCCCCTTGTGTTTTTTGGTTCCTGTTTCATCGTTCATATTGACACAATCCAAGTCAGTTGCTTGGGTGGTTTATCAAAGCTGTGATGTCACGAGGGGCAGAGCTCTTGAGGGCTGGTACGTCTCCCAAGTGTGTCTGTTCTTGGAGGCTGTTTACACTTGTCCAAGATGGGGACTGGATCTGCTGGCAATCCATAGAGCAGGGAGCAGCTGTGCACCCTGTTCCAGTCTAGATAAATCAAAGGCCGAACCAGCAGTAGAGAGCTTGGGTGAAGAGGGGCGCAGAGAGGTATGTGAGGTCGGTAGGAGGGACTTCACCAGTTCAGCGAAGACTGTGCCTGTGAGCCGCTCTGCGTCTGCGAGGCCTGGAGTCCTGTGAAGATGGTGCCTTTGTCACCTGGAACTTAAGAAAAGCTACGAAGGCCGTGGCTCATTAATATGAACTGAGGCAGAAGGAAAGGCAACGCAAGACCAATCCAAGAGGCAAAGCTGGAACCAGAAACACATTGCGCGTGTGTTGAAAAGGATTGTTCTTATCATCTTGGGCAAAGGCTTTATCTGGATTGAATGAAACAAGAACCTGGTGGAGACCTGGGGAATGGTGAACTGGAAATGAAATGACCTACCAGACGAAGATTCCAAAAAGAGTTAATAATAATAATTGCTTACACTTATATTTTCTAGACACTCCACTCAAAGCGCTTCACAGGTAATGGGGATCCTCTCCACCACCAGTGTGCAGCCCCACCTGGATGATGCGACAGCAGCCATAGTGCACCAGAACGCTCCCCACACACCAGCTCTCAGTGGGGAGGAGAGCAGAGTGATGAAGCCAGTTCAGAGATGGGGATTATTAGGAGGCCATGATTGATAAGGGCCAATGGGAAATTTGCCCATGACGCCGGGGTTATACCCCTACTCTTTTCGAGAAACGCCCTTGTCCTTTCGGTGTAAAGCCTGTTTGATAGTGACGGAGCTCAGGCAGTTATTGCATCTGGAGTCCTTACTGCTGCCCGTTGAGGAAGATTGCTTTATTAAATACCGACCTGAAAAAGTAATATTGATTATACAAGAGAATCGGTAAACTACATATATTAAACTATGTGAATAAGTGAATATTGCTGCTTCCAGAAGTCATCAAGTTACGTTGTATCCAACGGCATGTTTGTGTGATTCTCCTCTTTGCATAATACATGGCAACAGAGAATAAGTAGAACACACAGTATGCTTCGAGTATGAAGACATGGATGGCATCGTAGCCTGTGGGGCTATTGCACAAAAGACAGGACATTGCATACCTTGGTTTCAAGTTTGGTGTGGAATTCATCCCTTGATAGACTGACAACTGCGTTTGTGCTGCAATAGTGAATATATTTCTTTTGCACTAAACATTTTGATGCATTTCATGGCATTTGTCTTTTTATTTTAACAGGAAGGATGGCGTTCCTATTGGGTACAAAGGCAGTACATTCCATAGGTAAGGTATATAGTAAAAAAGCATTGCGCATTTTTCTGTGGTGTCCCATTTGGCAAACTTACAAAATGCAACATACACATTTTTTTTAAAAAATCAAAAACCGAAAGCCCAAAACGAAAAAAACCAAAAAGAAAAAAAAAGAAAAGGCAAAAAAAAACTCAAGAGAGAATACTGAAATATGGTGATGGCAGATGTATGCAGACTTGCACACCCAGTATTTGGTAGAAGCACCTTTTGGTAACAATTACAGTGGCACTTGTTTTAGGGCAAGTCTCTACCAGATTTGCACACCGGCTTGGTGCGGTTTTTGTCCATTCATCTTGGCAGATGTACTCAGGTTCTCTCAGCTTGGTAGGGGCTTGCTAATGGACAGCAGTTTTTTCAGTCTTTCCACTGACTCAGGGTTCAGGAAACCAGGAATTTGACTGTGCTGCTTAAGGACAATCCGTTTCTTATTCTTAAGCTCCTCTGGTGTACTGTAGCTTTGGCCTTGTGCTTTGGAATTATTGTCTGGATCAGTCTTTGTCCCAGCTTGCCCAAGTTTTAGGTCTGACACAAGTTCGTCTCTAAGATATGCCAGTACCTCATACGGCGCTTCATCTGTAATCCCACTCGACGACAGTCTTCGCAGTCCCTGCTGATGTGAAGCAGAACAATAACATCTTGCTGCCATCACCATGTCTGACAGGAGGGATGACGGAGTGATAAAACTTTTGGCTTTGCGTCAGATTTAGTGCTTTGCATTTAGACCAGTAAATTCCAGTTTTTATCCCGTTTGACCAGAAAACTCATGTTTTTGGCAATATCACTTAGGTGCTGTGTTGCACACATCATGTGGGATATGGGATTTTTTTTCCTAGTTCCATTTAAGCCAGGATATTGTTGTCCCAAGGGCATTTTCTCCCGCTCTGGAACTCTTTAGAGTTGTCATTGACCTCATGGTGGCATTCCTGGGCAGTGCGGTGGCTCTGTGGCTCAGGATCTGTGGCTGCAGGGTTACCGGTTCGTAATCGGCGGCCAGCAGAGGAATCCTACTCCTGAGCAAGGCCCTTAACCCCAGCTGCTCCAGGGGCGCCGTATAAATGGCTGACCCTGCGCTCTGACCCCAAGCTTCTCTCCCTGTCTGTGTGTCTCATGGAGAGCAAGTTGGGGTATGCGAAAAGATGCATTCCTAATGCAAGAAATTGTATATGTCCAATAAAGTGATCTGATCTTATCTTAACAAGTTTAGCCCTTGCCAGGCTGCTCAGTTTGGAGGGACAGCCTGATGAAGGCGTAGTTTAGGTGCCTTCCACTTAATGATCCCACTTAATCATCAGCATTCTGAAAGAGATGTTAGAGGCCATTGAAATGTCTTGCCCTTCTCCTGATCTGTGTCTTTATCCGGTTTTATTTCTGTGTTGTTTTATAAAGCTTCTTGGTCTACATGGTTGAATGTTTCTGTGAACTCTTATGTCATAGACAGGTGTATTCATTCTGAAATCGTGTGAACTACTGTTCTTGCACGGAGACCACTCAGCTGATTCTGTGACTCATATAGTTAATTTTGTGCACCTAAATTAATTTAGGCTTGCCACAGTAAAGGGTTTGAATACGAATTCACTAATGGCTTTTCCATTTTTCTTTTCTGTTGCTGATTTCTTTCTCCCTGACTTTTGCTTTCAGTGTGTGGAGCAGGTGTGTATATAGAGCAGATATTACACCCCAGTATAACAATATTAATAAATAAACCAATATCGCAAAGATATTACAAATCGAAATGCCATGGCTACAAGCTTTAAGGCATCAAACTCTGAAAACTGTGCGCTGAATACTTTTTCAATGCTCTTCCAGCATCATACATTGGAAAAAACAAACATTTTATATGCACCTGGAGCTGTTATTACTCAAAAGGAAGTTCTATAGTTTGTTTTTTCTAGGTGCGTTCTCAGATTGATGTTTGTTTTGAAGAGCTTGTCTTTTGGAACCATGTGGTTCTGTGCTGGAGGGGCAGGCTTGACTTCTGGGTGCAGTATGGGAACCATGATCTATGAGATCAGGCTTCTCATTGGCTGCCGGATGGTTAATAAAAGGTACACGATAGTCTTCTGTAAATTTATCAGCAGCACCCCCGAATTTCCATGGGTTACATATTCTTTGTAGTAACCAGAAATCCTGGAAATCATTCAAAGAAGGCAAGTTATTGGTTGTCTGATAATGGCTGTATACAACACCTGCAGTAATTATTTATCAGAAAAGAAAAGCACTGCTACCAGTAGTAGCACTTAAGGGACGTTGCAGGAGCTTGTTGGTCATCTTCACATGGTTTTAATTAGGCCCAACCCTTTATGCTAGGAGGGTGCAGCTTCTGAAATGTAACTATTGCTGTATGACCCTTAGGGACTGCTCTACCAGGTCATGTAACCAGCTTCTGCCCCTTTGAAATAGGATTGTTGGCATGGCAATCGAGGTATAGTGGTTGTGGTTCCCATTGTTCATGATCTTCCTTGTGTGACCACATTCCAGCTCTCTTCCTCCTGCTGCTTGTATAAAAATAGCTTTCTTGTCAGGTGACAGTGTTGCGGTTCTGCTGTGGACGCCCAGGCTCATCAGGTTTGAGCCTGGCTGAATATCGGTGGGATGGGTTTTGTGGCTTCTTGGTCCAGAGACCAGTAAACATGCAAATGCTTGTTTACAAGAGGAGTTGCACAGAATCCCACAAAACAGCATCTGCAACGTGATGCCCAGTATGCATCTCACAGATACACAGCTTATATTGCTTTCGGTGGTGGAAAGGTCACACATGCTGTTAGCCTGTGACCATTACAGCAGACACTCTGCTGAAGACGTATAAATCAGTACCATGAATAAACCTGTCACATCTGTGCAAGAAAATGTCAGAGCTTCTGCTTCAAAATCTTTTTTCTTATGCCTATATGAATTTCCCGGATTTCTAAGAAATTTCTTTTGATGCCCTAATATCCAATGCAACACGCATTCAAAATCCCTCTGGACAATTCCGGATCACCCAGATGACATCACGTATTTCCAGCAGCCTTATTTACTGCATCTCTTGCAGAAAATGCCCAGCTATTTACATTTTTACATTGACGAGACAGAAAGGAGACTGGCAGACTGTTTCAGGGAACATGACAGGGCTGTGAAGGTCAAAGATCTGTCGAAGCTGATAGTTTCCCATTTCACCTTTCTCATCTTAACATCTGTGTCCTCACAGAGGGATTCTGGGACTCCTAAATGCAGAAAGACATCCAAAACCAAAATTATCCTGAAACTTGGATCACACTTTCCCTCTTCTCTAAACGAAAGATTCTTCTTGGAAATCCTCTCTATTCGTTTGCAGATTTCAGCTTTCCACACCTCTCCTCTAGTTCTCCATGAGTTTGGACAGTTTGGACTGACCTTTTGGTCCTCATGTGCCTTATTCATCTGCTGTTTTTATTTGCACTTATAATAATAATAATTATAATCATTGCTTACACTTATATAGTGCTTTTCTGGACACTCCACTCAAAGCGCTTTACAGGTAATGGGGACTCCCCTCCACCACCACCAGTGTGCAGCCCCACCTGGATGATGCGATGGCAGCCATAGTGCGCCAGAACGCTCACCAGTCATCAGCTATCAGTGGGGAGGAGAGCAGAGTGATGAAGCCAATTCATAGAGGGGGGTTCTTAGGAGGCCGTGATTGGTAAGGGCCAACGGGAAATTTGGCCAGGACGCCGGGGTTATACCCCTACTCTTTTCGAGAAATGCCCTGGGATTTTTAATGACCACAGAGAGACAGGACCTCGGTTTTACGTCTCATCCGAAGGACGGCGCCTGTTTACAGTATAGTGTCCCCGTCACTATCCTGGGGCATTAGGACCCACATGGACTGCAGGGTGAGCGCCCCCTGCTGGCCCCACTAACACCTCTTCCAGCAGCAACCTTAGTTTTTCCCAGGAGGTCCCCCATCCAGGTACTGACCAGGCTCACACCTGCTGAGCTTGAAGAATGTTGTCTTTCTTTTCTTTTTCTGTTCTTTTTTAATATATATGTGTGTGTTTAAGTGAAATGGAGAGCTGGACCTGGTGTAATTGATAGGGATTAGCTTAATATCGCCCTGTGTCTGGGAATGCGATTTGTAACTTGAGTCACTGCGTAGTTCTCTCCAGTCTACAGGCTCTACAGTAATGCACTCGGTGGGGGGAAAAATCAGTTTGGGCTGAAATTTTAGCATACGTGTTTGGGCACAGGTTTCTCATACTGCAACAGATATTGCTAATTGACAAGACAAATACTCAGGACAATCTTTCTGGATATAAGGATTTTCTATTTCACAATGTGCATCGTGGAAGAGCTACCAGTCACAGGGAAAGCATGACGAGGGTGTTCACCTGGACAAGTCGGGCCCACACACCTGTATTTTGCAGCATAAGAAAGCAAAGTGAGTTTCCCAGGGCTCAGATTAGCATTATGTGAGATTTAAGCCTTATCTGTGCAGGTGTCCAATTAGTATGGCAATTTATAAAAATTAACTTCCACCTTTTTTGGTCCTTGTTTGCTTTTGTCACGCTTGCATTGTCACCAGTTTCATACTTATGACTCTTTATTTACCGTTCAGCCAACCAGCGTTAAAAAAGACAGCAGTTTGATCAAGAGTTAAATGTACTGTGTATATATTTTCTTCTGCAGAGTTGCGAAACAGCCTTTTTATGGCAAAGGTTGTCCTGTCAGGTTTCGTCTTGATTTCAAAATCCTCATGCTCACCTATAAGGCTCTGCATGGCTCAGCTCCTCAGCACTTGTCTGAGCTACTATCATCCTACTCCCCACCTCACAACCTTCGCTCTTCTAATTCTGGTCTCCTCTGTGTCCCCAGGCCCATCTACACTACATGGGTGACAGGGCCTTCTCCTGTTATGCACCACAGCTCTGGAACTCTATCCCTAAGGATATCAGAGTCACCTTCTCTAAACTCCTTCAAATCCAGACTCAAATCTTTGTTTTCGAAGGCCTTTTATTTAATTGGTCCTTTGTCTGTCCCTTTCCTACTATATTCCGTGCCTCTTTTCTACTGTCTCCTCTCAATGTGTAGTTTTTTGTTGGTATGTTTGTTTTGGAAAGCACTTTGAGAAGCTGCGTTTAAAGGCACTATATAAAAAGTTCATTATTTATTGTTATTAACCATTTAAACACAGGCAACACAAAATCCTTCTTTTCTTTTTCAGTCTGCTTTGTGCTCTGCAATCTTGTTTTTTTTCTGTTTGTCCCACATCACCTTATTAACAGAAGACCGCAGCTATGGATTCTGACTGCTTAATTATATCTTACCGCGCGACTGATTGTTTAATTGTCCTGTGCAGTAACCCCTTTGTGTTCATGATCAGCTGCCACACCTTAACAATTCTTTGTCTTTATTTTCAGGGTGATCAAGGACTTCATGATTCAAGGGGGCGACTTTGTCAATGTAAGTCAGTAAGGCATAGGAATCTGTTTGAAGTCACTCTTGTCTGTGTTCTGCATCGGGTCTCTTCACTACTATAATTCAGCAAACTGCGTTGACACTTTTAAAACACTGGTCGCACGTTTTGAAACCGAACCCTGGCTGGAGTATTACAGGAAGACTTCTCCGTTCCACAGTAAGTCAGCTCAGCTTTCCACCCTGGTTTTCATACTGCCCAGGAGAACTGAGGTCTACTGTAGCGGATCCTACCCTAAAGCTGGGCAGTCCAGAGGGATCGTGGGATGGGACACTGGTGATCCCAAGAAGTAATGTTCTTGGTAATTTTAAGAAAGTAATGTTAAGGTAAATTGTTAGTAAACTAAGGTAAATGATAAAGTAATGTTCTTGGTAATTTTAAGAAAGTAATGTTAAGGTAAATTGTAAGTAAACTAAGGTAAATGATAAAGTAATGTTCTTGGTAATTTTAAGAAAGTAATGTTAAGGTAAATTGTAAGTAAACTAAGGTAAATGATAAAGTAATGTTAAGAAGTATTGGTTTTGGTGTTTGCCTTATAGGGCCCAAAACAGCAAACAAAAAGTCAGCACAAAAACTACCACGCCCGGTGTAGGAGAGTGCACACCCTTTAAATACCAAACAGCAAGTCAGTTACACCCAAGTAACAATGTGCCAAACAGCCATCACCACGAATCTGTTCAGTTAAGTGATTAATACCTGTTGTGAGACTATCTGAAAGATTAGAGGCTGTGTAGACAGCTGTAATTGCTCCATGCATGCATAGATGCTTCTCCTGTAATGTGCACTGTGTGTGTTTTCTTTTGTCCTTTCCGCATTCCCACAAATCAAACAGCAGCACTGTAAGACATCAGACAGAGGACTGCCGACACTGCAGGCTCACAAGTACCTGGGCCCTCTGTGGCACCAGTAGCCCAGCATGCCCGGGCCCTCCCTGTAGCGGACATGTGGCCGATATTGGCCAGTGACCTGTGGCTCCAGCCAGGCAGAGTCCTGCTCTAGTTCAGCCTCTTGGGAGCGTCCTAAGTCTATGTCCATCTCACACCTTTTTCTGTCATTATTTACATGGGAACTTACATGGGAAATGTTTTTATATTTCATGGTTAGAACTAATTGGAACTGATGAGTGCTTTTGGAGCCACAGTAAGAGTAAAGAGTACACAATAATGTGTAAAACCTCCAATTTATGTCACAGACAAAATGTCCAGGTCTGCGCAGCGCCATGTTCTGCGATTCAGAAAGAGGCAGCAAGACTTCTGAACTCCAGTACTTGAGTTTTTATGGCAATGAACTCCACTACTTCACTCCAAATCAAATCAAAGTTTATTTGTCAAACGCACAACAATACAGCGGGCAGCAGTAGTTGCTGGCAATGAAATGTGTTTTCCGCGAGCTCACAAAAATCACAAAATTGAGGTTATGAAAATGAGGTTACATGAACTTGAACTTTATTGCCATATGTAACCGGTACTGGTACAATGGAATTCTTACTTACAGAAAGTCTCTCGATTGTAAAACAAGTGTAAAAAACAAGACAAAGTGCAAACAGTGCATCAAGACAATGTACAAACAGACAATAGACAATGTGCAAGTAAACATGTAGACAGTTTGAATGTAAATAATACAGACGTGTAAACAATGACTGGAGATGTGCAATAGATAAGAAATCATAAAGAGGTAGATGGTGATGGTGTAGGCGTGGTCCAAAGGGGGATGGCTAAATGTGTTCGCCAGTCTCACTTCTTGTGGATAGAAGCTATTGAAGAATCTAGTGGTAAGTGTCCGTATGCTCTTATATCTCTTGCCTGAGGGCAGTGGGGTGAAGAGCTCATGCCCGGGGTGGTGACTGTCCTCTGTGATGGCCTGAATTCGACCACGGCAGCGGTCCTCATAGAGCTGTTTAATCTCGGTGAGACCGCAGCCGATGATCTTCTGGGCCATATTGACCATTCTCTGCAGTGCCTTTCTTTCTCGCGAAGAGGTGTTGCCATACCACACGGTGATCCCGTTGGTGAGGACGCTCTCGATGGTGCAGCGGTAGAAGTTCACCAACACATGTATTGGCATCCCCCATCGCTTGAGGCACCTCAAGAAATAAAGGCGCTGCTGAGCCTTCTTCATGATAGAGTCAGTGTTCGCAGTCCAGGTTAGATCTTTAGAGATGTGAATTCCCAAAAACCTAAAGCTGGTGACTGTTTCCACTTCCGTTCCATACATAATAATAGATGTAATAGAAACGGAATAAAACTCAAAATGAGTAGAGCTGCTATGTGTCCATGGTATAGGCAGTATATACATGTAGTGCAGTTATGCTGAATACAGTGAAAACTGTGTGTCCATGTAGCCATTACAGGTGATCTGCTAAAGGAGCTGCAGGTTGGCTATTAAGCAGTCTTATTGCCTGGAGGTAGAAGCTGTTCCGTAGTCTGTTGGACCTGGACCGAATGCTTTGGTACCGTTTACCAGACGGTAGGAGGGAAAACAGTTTGTTTTCCACTACAGCTACCTACTTGAACAACTCCTCTACTCTGCTGTTGTATGCTAGAGCAAGGTAGTTCCGGGAAATGCCCTTCCCTACAGATGGGTGCTCTCCTGGTCATTAAGGGAACAACCCACTTGTTTTTGTTAGAATGACGGGGTTCATAAAGTCACTTGTAATGCAATGGTGCCCTCTAGTGGTGAGAATAAGGGAGACCGCTGTCCGTGTTTTAGACCTGCAGAACAATTCACTCGCAAATGTGGGAAATCTTATTTTTCACAAGTTACTTTAAATGCCTTTTATTTAACTTCCTTGGGAAAATAATGGATTGAAATTCCAAAAAATTCCCCTGCAAGAGGGTGTGTTTTATAATAATATATTGTCACACAACGGCTGTTGTCAGTTGATACATTTCTGACAGACAGTGATGGTCTCTGTTAAACTTGAACTCATTCATTATGCGTGATGTAGGTATTCAGTGACTGATTACTTATTCTACAGTTATGTATTAACTTTGTTATATTATTCAGTTAGTACAAGAGATACAGCCCATGATAAGAGACTAGCATGAGTAGCAACCATTCCTAAGCATCTGCCTTTATTATTCTCTATTCAAGACAATAAAGTTTTCCTTCTTTGAAAGACACAAGGTAGCATGGGAGACTGTGAAAACAGGCTTTATTTCTTGTGTTAGTACAGTGGAATACAATTAGGTACTTTATAAATGCCCCCCCCCCACACACACACACCTCTGCACCGACTTTGTGTGATTTGAACCCTACTACATCAGAAAAAAAAACACAGAAAATAGATATGTGTTAAGGTGCATACACTGTAAAGAAATGCAGAATAAAAATTCCTTACGTTTCTCAGGTGCTTTTTATTTCAGTGGATCCTAAAGCAATTCAAGAAGAAAGGATTGCATTAGCAGCAAATCGTTAGGGCACGTGAGAAATCGCTTCTCCGGCTGAATTAAGGAGGAACTTTCGGAGGCCAGAGTGCGGTTCAGGCAGGATGTCAGGGGGAACACTCCCACTCGTTTTCCACCTCCTCCAGCACACTGTCAGCTCCGCTGCAGAATTCCTTACGGGTGTCTTTCCAGTTCGTGAAGATCGCGGGAAACGTGTCCTTAAGAGGAATCTGGCCAGAGGCAAGAGAGCAGGCTGTTCTTGTCCAGCCCCTGGCGGCCATGTTGTGGCCTAGTTGGAAGACACAGGCTGACTTTATTTGTAATAAAGTACAACAGTGAATTTACTTTTTTGGCAGGTTACGGGTTTTTGGTACCGGTAGTCCGATTCTGTCCCTGTTATTTTCGGTTCTGTGGTACAGATTGCCAGGCAGTGTGGAACAGTCATACGGTTGATGGAACGGCCTTTCTGGGCAACAAAAGGCCAAGAAGTCCAGACCCTTGAGGGTGTGTTATATGTTAGTAAAACTGCATTTATTAACTGTTTGTTGAGAGCAGCTGTTAGTATCTCCTCTGATCCCTCACATGCTCTGCTTGAAGAATAGCTACTGAGGCCTTCAAACAGGCATTTTACAGTCCCTTGATGGACATTTAAAAAAATGATGAATGCCTTTATCCCACATGCAGTCAAACTACTTAATCAATAAAAGAGTATTGGTTTATGGACAAGTGCAATTAGTGGTTTTGTGCAAAGGGGTGCTGTGCAATTATTGTGGCTTGGGGTGTCTGTGGGGGAGTCAAGTTATAGGTTCTGGTAAACTGTGGGGATTCCTGTAGGAATATTGTGTTATGACTTTGTATGAGTTGGTGTAAACCTGTATTTCTTTTGAATGTACTGTTTACTTGTACTGCTTGTACATTCTGTTCTTTCTAAGTCTCTGCGTGTGTAAAACAGAGCCGCTTGTCTGCAGAACAAATCTTTGAAATGAAACCCATCCGAACCAGGGACCTAAAGAGAAAGACCACAACAATCAGAAGCAGAAGCTGGTTTTGGTCCTGAGCTGAACAGACCGTGTTCTCTCTCCTCAGGGCGATGGCACGGGCATTTGCAGTATCTACCGCGGCCCGTTCACGGACGAGAACTTCAAACTGAAGCACTCGGCGCCGGGCCTGCTGTCTATGGTAAGTCCATCTTTAGGTCCTCTCCCTGTGCGGGCCGGAGAGATTCACAGGCACTGGAGCTGGTTCTGGAACAGAAACATCCTGATTAACAGCCATGACCCCCCTGAAGCAGAATTCAACTTGCTCTCTCCACAGCGGAACAGCAGGCCCAGAGACTAAAAAGTCTGGTTCAGGGCCACAGAAGAAACACCAGGACCTCTTTTCTTCTTTCTGACCAAATCAAATGAATGTGAACAATAACAGCAGAACCAAGTCTTTGAACGTCTGTAAAATTAGCATCAGAGCCAAGATGAAATGGATTAATTTAGACATTAATGTTCTCATTACTGCCCTCTAGATTGGATAATAATAATAATAATAATAATAATAATAAACTTTATTTTA